CTTATATAAGGAGCTCAGTGCCTATGGCACTTGACTGTTGACTAGAAGATTGGCGGTTCAAACCCACTAGCCACTCCATGGAAAGAAGATGGGGCAATCCACTTCTGTAAATATTTACCACCTTGGAAACCCAAAGTGGTTGCTATTAGTTGGAATTGGCTCAATGGCAGCGAGGGTGTTTTTTTTTTTTTTTTTTTTTTTGAGAGACCTTGTATCTCAATTTTAAAATTAGATTATGGTGATGATTATATACCATAAATATAGTAAAAATCATGGAATTGTACACTTCAAACAGCTGAATTTTATGGCATATTAATTCTATTTCAATAAAGCAATTACAAAAAAATAAAGAGGATACCTTGAAAAAAATAGTGCAAACCAAGAATGAGAAATATAATATAACAAAAGGTACACTGAATTGGTAATTCAGAATTTCAGATTCAGTTCCAGTTTTGCCATCTGCTACCTGCATGACCTTGGACAAGATACCTCACTTTTTCAAAGATGAATATCTCCAGTTTTTAGTGAAAATGCTAACTAAAACATCATTGGATTGTTCTGAAACTTAATTTTAATAATTTATATATTGCAATTAATACTATGCCTGAGTATCATTAATATACAATAGTTATTAGTTCGCATCCCTCTTTTCAGTTCTAAAATTCTAGGCCTAAATTTTTCTATAAAAATATTAGAATTGAAGAACATAAAACCTGTTACATAAAATTTGACTTCTATCTGTAAATAGGTTACACAAAAATGGCTGGATAGATTTCCCCCTAATTGGAGGATGTTTTGGGATGATCTAACTTAAGTTTGAATTACTGCTCGCTTCAGCAGCACATATACTAAAATTGGAATGATGCAAAGAAGATTAGCATGGCCCCTGCACAGGGATGACATGCAAATTTGTGAAGTGTTCCACATTTAAATAAATAAGTTTGAATTAAAATAAAGATGATGTGGAATAAGCAGAATGAATTTTGTGAGGCTGAGTGGACCCTCCCAAAAGTTGGCCAACACTACAGAGCTCCTGAAACTGAGATCAAAAGAGAAGCCCATGGAACCACTAGCTCAAACTGTAAAGAACTCATGAACAGAGAAAGCAGGGGTTTCTGATAGAAGCCCCAGAATCAATTCACAAGAGCAGAACTCCAAATCTGATGCCATGATCTTCAGACCAGGTTAGCAGTACTTCTCAACTGTGGATGATTTTGCCCCCTAGGATATTTGTGTCTATGTCTGAAGACATTTTTGGTTTTTACAGCTTGGGGGCCAGGGATGTTGTTAAACATCATACAATGCACAGGTCAGCCCCCACAACGAAGACTTTTCCAGTCCAAAATGTCCAGCAATAGTGCTGAGGTTGAGAAATCCTGGCTTAGGTGACCATACATCCTGGTTCGCCTGGGAATGTCTAGGTTTATACCTCCTGTCACATGGTCATTATTACTAGTACATAAGGTACATCTAACCCAAGCCATCCATGGTATTTTCAATTGTCTCATATGCTTATGAAAGCTGGACAAAGAATAAGGAAGACCAAAGAAGAATTGATGTCTTTAAACTATGAATA